GCTAAACCCACGGCTCGCAGTGATATTGTTCATGACCGTAAAATGTCTACATCGCGTCATACTATCAAGAATGAATCGGTTGTTACCAAAGAATCTACGTCGTTAACTCGACGCAAGCAACTGGAGCTGGAAGCTGCCAACGCTAAAGCTAAAATACAGATGGAGCTGATCGACAAAAAGCTGGAAGTCGATTTGGCTATGCTTGAAGAAGACGATGGTGTCGCGTCTAGATGTCCATCCCGAATAAGCAGGACTAGCAGCCGGAGGAAGGCGCAGTCCCATGTGGAACAGTGGTTAGAGCAGAGCAACATACAGCCGACAGGAATTGATGTTCCAGAGGCGGCAGCAACGACGAACGAGGCAGGGCTGGCAGCTAATGTTAAGGATATAAGCCATGTTCCTGCTCCCGAGATGCCCGTCGATAGTATCTTGCAGCTAGCTCACACATTGAAGGACATCATGACTACCTCGTCTACGCAGCAGGATGACCGCCTGTTGACCCGGTTGTCCACACCACGAGAGTTACCATCATACAGTGGTGACCCTATAGAATGGTTGCATTTCAAAAATGCTTATATAGAATCCACTAATACATGCCGGTTTAGTGATTCTGAAAATTTGTGGAGACTACGTCGAGCCCTGAAAGGTGACGCCAAGGAAGCCGTCACTGACTTATTGATCGGCAACACATCACCAGAATTTGTAATCCAGTCATTAGAGATGAGGTTTGGGCGCCCTGATGTCATCATACAGCACCTTACTTCACAAATGAGAAAGTTAAGTCCATTACCTACTTCTTATCATCATGACCTAATTCATTTTTCTGTTAAAATAAATAACTGCATTGCAACGTTACTTGCACTCAATCAATTAGATTATTTACGCAGTCCAGAATTATTATCTGCAATTATATCCAAGTTGCCCAGTATTATTATAACTAAATGGACAGAATATGCTTACAAAAGACTATCAAGTGATGTACCTAAGTTACAGTTATTGGCTACATTTTTAAAGCAGGAAGCTGAGATGGTGATCGTTGTGGGAGTATCACAGTATAAAAAATCAGAGTCCGTACCCCACAAAAAGATTGATGACAGATCACGATACAGTCGACCTATTTTTACCACTACATCGAAACCAGATAGTATATTCTGTAACTTTTGTAACAAGTCCGCTCATTTCCTAACCGATTGCAGAGTATTCAAGCGAGCTATGAGAAAGGACCGGTGGAGATATGCTAAGATGCAAGGCTTATGTTATAATTGTTTATCTAGTAAACATGATAAAACCGTATGCACGGCACCTATGTGCGGTATTGATAACTGTGGACTCGCGCACCACCCCTTACTTCATTATAAAAAGCCTACTACGTCACGTGAGAAGCCGACTGTCGAGGCACAATCATCAACATCGGCCGCCGACGCAGATAACACGATCGTGGCGCATGTGGCCGCGGCGCCGGCGCACGAGCCGCGCTCGTCCACCCCCGTCTGTCGACAGCGTAGTGATGTGTTACTCAAAGTGATAAAAGTGAATCTCAGTGGACCCAATGGTAATGTATGTACCTATGCATTATTAGACGACGGTGCATCCATTTCTATGATCGACAGAGAGTTAGTTACTCAGTTAGGTATAAAAAGTGTAGATTGTAGCTCAATAAAATTCATTGATGCATTTGGTATTGAAATATTTCAGTCAGACGCTCCAAAAATATGTACAAAAATATCTGGATTTGATAATGTTCAATATAATATAACTTTGCGCCAAGTAAATAAATTAAAGTTGCCTCAACAAAATTTATCTGTCATAAATAATATTAATTGTGAACACTTGTTACCCGTAAAAAATTATGTTTGTAAACAATGTGTAGTGCCTCGCTTACTGATCGGAGAAGATAATTATTTTTTGCTTGCTCCTTTAGAGATGTTACATGGAAATGAAAATGAACCTTATGCGACTCGATCTCGATTAGGTTGGTCCATACACGGCTGTTTTGGTCGCACTCACTCACGTTCGAACGGTCACTCATTCCATCTCACTCACACCGAGTCACAGGTGAGCGATATTAGCAAATTAAATAGTTTAGTTAAGCAGTCATTCGATATAGATGCAATAGGAATTTCGACCTTAAGACGTGACAATACGGCACATTTAAGAGCTCTTCGTATATTAGACGACACGGCACGTAATGTAGGTAATCGATAGGAAGTTGGTTTACCGTTTGTTAAAGATAATTTTATTATGCCTGATAGTTATGAGTATGCACGATCGAGATTACAGAGTTTACTGAAACGGTTTCAGGCGGACTGCGCCTACGCATATAAGTATAGAAGGGAGATAGACAAGCTGTTCCAGCACGGCTATGCTCGAGAACTTAATGATTCTGAACTCTCAGCTAGTCACATTTGGTACTTGTCACACTTTGGGGTTCAAAATCCAAATAAACCGGACAAGTTACGCGTAGTATTTGATGGTGCAGGTAAAGTACAGGGTATGTGTCTCAATGACTTTCTACTCACTGGCCCTGACCTATATAATTCATTATTAGGTATCATGTTACGTTTTCGTGAACATAAGTTTGTTATAATAGGAGACATAAAGGATATGTTCCTTCAAATTAAAATTCGTCCTGAAGACCAGCACGTATTACGTTTTCTGTGGCAGCCAGATGGAAAAACGGAACCGAAGGTTTGTGTAATGCAAAGCTTGGTATTTGGTGCTACTAGTTCACCATTTATTGCCCAGTATGTAAAAAATAAAAATGCAATGAAATATCAGGATCAGTATCCTGAAGCTGTGGACGTCATTGTAAATAATCACTACATGGACGATTGTTTACACTCTTGTGATAGTGAAAGTAAGGCTATTCAATTATTGCGCGAAATAACATATATACAGAGTAAGGCTGGGTTTGAAATCACACGCTGGTCGAGCAATAGTAAATACGTTTTACAGAACGTGCCGCTAGAGGCGCTTGCGCCGACTGCAGTCGAGTTCAAACTCGGAGCTACGAACACAAGTGAGCGCACTTTGGGTTTGATATGGCATCCGAGCGACGACACGTTCGGATTTAAAATATCTTTAGATCGCATACCGCAAAACATTTTAGACGGGACAGAACCACCCACTAAAGCTAAAATGTTGAGTATTATTATGTCGGTATACGATTTACATGGCTTTCTTTCTCCTTTTATTATTAAAGGGAAAATTATTTTCCAGTATGTACATCGCAGTGGAGTTGAGTGGAATTGCCGCATCCATACCGACGAACATGCACGGTGGATCCATTGGTTATGCGATTTACGGCAGCTGCACTCGCTACGCATTCCACGGTGCTACGCTAATACAGGCGACTGGACCCGTTGTTATGAAAGCGAGCAATGTATTAATATTAGTACGAATGAGTTAGACAATTGTTATATTAAAGAGACACAATTGCATGTTTTTTGTGATGCTTCTATAAAGGCGTACGCAGCTGTTATGTACTGGCGATTTATTCGTTCAGACGGTTATGTACTTATTTGTTTTGTGTCTAGTAAAAGCAGGGTGACTCCCCTGCGACCTGTGTCTGTTCCTAGGCTGGAACTGCAGGGTGCGCTTCTCGGAGCGCGCCTCGCTACCACTATATGTAACGATCATAAACATGTTCAGCCTACGAAAAGGTATTTTTGGACTGATTCCAGTACAGTATTGCAGTGGTTACGGAGTGATCCACGTGACTACAAGCCTTACGTTGCACATCGTCTAGGTGAACTGGATGAGTTGACCAAGTCCTGCGAGTGGCGCCATGTACCGTCTGGCCTTAACGTGGCAGACGTAGCCACCAGAGAGGACGCCTCTCAACTTGCATATTCTGACGTTTGGTTTCAAGGTCCATCGTACTTACGCCGCCCGGAGGACGAGTGGCCCGTAGACCGCAAATTTAGTAAACAGTCAGAAGATGCAATGTGTGAGATACGGTCGGTACATGCAGTCATCGAGACCAGCTCAGATTTATCTTTACCAAATGAAGATAATATCTCGAGATGGATCGTTCTCGTGCGTGCCACCGCAAGAGTATTGTTATTTATTAGAAGATGTCAACGTAAAGACATACAACTTGATACTCATTTAATGAAGAAGGCAGAACAGCTTCTCATTAAAAAGTGTCAACAGGATTCTTTCTCTTCCGAATTAACCTTATTAAAACAAGGTAAGTCGTTACCACCTACAAGTCGTCTGTTACAATTAACGCCTTATATTGACGACTCGGGTATTTTACGGTCTGAAGGTCGTATCGACAGAGTAGTAGGTGTTGAACACACTACTCGAAGGCCCACCATTTTAGACGGTAAGCACAGAATAACACGCTTATTAGTTGAGCACTATCACCGACTAGCACTTCATGGAGCCAATGAACTTGTCGTGAACGAATTGAGGCAGCAGTTTTGGATTTTAAAACTTAGACCAACTGTGCGCTCAATAGCTTCGCGTTGTTTATTCTGTCGTTACAGACGCGCGGATCCACAGCCACAACGTATGGCTGACCTTCCAGCTGAAAGGATGCAACATAATAGGCGTCCATTCAGCTATTCAGGCGTGGATTTCTTCGGCCCTCTCGAGGTCACTGTCGGTCGTCAGCGACATAAACGATATGGCATGTTATTTACTTGCCTCACTGTTAGAGCAATTCATATTGAGCTGACAGTGGATCTCTCGACTGACTCTGTTATAATGGCCCTTAGACGCATGGCAGCTCGACGAGGCATGCCAACTGTCATAGTTTCTGACAACGGCACTAATCTGAGAGGGGCTGACAACGAATTGAAACGGAGCTTGGCAGATCTCAACAGCGATGCCTTGCGTGACGATGGAACCATACGCGGAATCGAATGGAAATTCATTCCTCCTGGAGCTCCCGAGATGGGCGGCTCATGGGAACGGATGATCCGTACAGTAAAAACTGCATTAAGAGTAATCTTAAAAGAGCGCGCCCCACATCCCGACACTTTAGCTACTTTATTAGCGGAAGTGGAGGGACTAGTAAATAGTCGTCCAATCACACACGTGTCATCTGATCTTAATTATCCGGAAGCGTTGACACCTAATCATTTTTTGATAGGTACTTCCTCAACTAGTCCATGTTTCGGCAAGTACAATGACACTGATCTGCAATTAAGAAAACGTTGGCGAGTGGCACAACGGTTGGCGGATATGTTCTGGGCCCGTTGGCTAAAAGAATATTTACCAAGCTTGGTCCCTCGTCAAAAATGGACACAAGAATGTAGGTGTTTACAAGTAGGTGATTACGTCATTATTATAGAACCTAATCTAGATCGTAACTGCTGGCGACATGGTATAGTGAGTGCGACCCACGCAGGCGCGGACGGGCGAGTTCGTGTTGTTGATGTGCGTACACGTACGGGTTTGATTCGCCGGCCGGTTACACGCGTCGCTGTACTATCCCCACGGGAGGATAGTGCTAACCAAGTTAGCACTAAGGAGGCAGTGTAAGCGACGCACTACTTATATATAATTTATTGTATATTTTTATGTCATGTTCCTCTTAAGATGTTCTTGTTTTGCCCTATTGTTTAGAAATGTATGTATACCTGTATTACGCACCTACGTATGATTTTTATTAAAGGTACAGGTATGTGCAATGACCCGCCGTACTGTCCGTATGCAAGCCTCCCCACCTAATTGCTTAGTAGCTTCCCACCAACCAACGCGAACGCGGCTTGTTGCACGTCCTAGTTTTAAACTACGCAATATCTTTTATTTTCATCCCTTATAGTGAGAATAAAGAAGTAAGGGAATTTCGGCAATGTGCAAAGATATTGTTATGAAGTTGTATAACGTTGTGCATTGTCTGATAGAAATAAGGTTTGGTTTATTGCCAGTAAGAATTTTGTAAGGACTGTAGTCCCCACTACAGTCTATACCTCCCATATATAAGGCGAGGAATTTTTGTATCGAGTTAGTCGTAATATAGTTATAATGCAGTCATAATACTGTTAAAATAGAGGGACTCAGACAGTCATAGTCGGATTGTTATATGCCGACGGCTGTCATAATCGAACACAGTACGGACGGCAGTTATAGTCCGTTATTATTGTAAAGTCAGTCGCGGTAGTTTCCTATAGACGCCATACAGTCTGAGCTACAGCGGCTGAAACTTGAATGTAACATCGAATACGGCTATAACTCAATTGTGAAACTTCTGTGGAGAGAATAAACAGGCTTCGAGAGACAACCGTTTCTTTCAAACCCCACCATCGATACAGTCCACTGCTCTCCCTGAGGAGCTGTCGCCAACAACCTGCCTACTCAAAAATGACTATCGATCCGATTGTCTACGGTCTGTGGCTAAGGCTTGTAATCTTACTATCCTACCGCTTCGTGCTACACATTACTTCCCTAGTTGCAGACCGTCACTGTTGGATCTCATCCTTGTCTCATCTCCTAGTCTTGTTGCAAGCCATGGTCAACACACTGCGGATACTTTTTCATTTCACGATCTTATTTTCCTTTCATTCCAAATCCGAACTCCTAAATTTAGACGTAAAATCATCATGCAGCGTAATTTTGGTACCATCGACCTGGATTGCTTGCGCAGGGATGCCCTGGACTCTGATTGGGACTCGGTTCGAAATGCTACTTCTGTGGATGACCAGGTAGACCTATTTAATAACATTGTCACTGAGCTATACGACCGTCATGCTCCTGTTCGACCTGTTCGAGTGAAACATCTACCTGCACCGTGGTTGACTAAGGAAATAAAAGATATTCAGAGCAGGAAAAACAAAGCTAAAGCAAAATTTAAATCCAATCCAGACAAATACCGAGAGCAGTACATAAAAGCTAGAAATTACTGCAATAAGGTGTGTAGAGAGGCACAACGTCGCCACATTCATTCATCTGTAGAAAATAGTGATCCGGCTAAGGTCTGGAAATTTCTTAAAACTCTTGGGGTCGGTAAAAATCACGATTCTAATTCTAAATTTTTCAATGTCGATATAGACAGCCTTAATAGGCACTTCTGTACTTCTACTGTTTTTGATAACAACATTAAAAGAAATACTACACTACTGTAAGCCGTCCTCGTTCTCTGATTACCGTCCTATTTCTATACTTCCTTTCCTGTCCAAAGTTCTTGAACGACTTGTTCATGACCAACTGAACAACTTCCTTTCCAAAAATCATCTCTTAAACCCTTTCCAATCTGGCTTCCGAGCTGGTCATAGTACGAATACCGCACTGCTTAAAATCACCGATGATATTCGATATGGAATGGAAAATTCGCAACTGACTGTTCTTACATTGCTGGATTTCAGTAATGCGTTTAACACCGTCGATATCGATATCCTACTGGCACGTATGCGTTCAATTAACATATCTCCAATGGTAACAGACTGGTTTCAAAGTTACCTGTATGGACGACGGCAGCGTATACGAGTTGACAACAGCTTCTCTTCATGGTGTCAAATTACTGCCGGCGTTCCTCAGGGTGGCGTCTTATCTCCGCTTCTTTTTGCGCTTTTTATTAATTCTATTACTATGCAGCTTCATTCCTCCTACCACCTTTATGCAGACGACCTCCAAATCTATTCGCAAGCCCCATTACATAACATTGACACTGCCATCCTTACAATTACTGCAGATCTAGATCTCATATCTAGTTGGTGTAAAAACTTTGGACTAACATTGAATGCTTCAAAAACTCAGACTATTGTTATTGGCAGCCCTCGGTATATAGCAAAAATCAATTGGAGCACTCTTCCTCGAATAGTGTTGGACGGAGTACTCATTGAGTACAGTGATAGCGTCAAGAACCTGGGCATCCACTTCGACAGGACGCTGTCTTGGACAGTTCAGATCGCCGAAGTGAGTCGCAAGATTTTCGCTGCCGCAGGCTCACTCAGGAGACTAGGCAATTTCTTGCCAGTCGATACCAAAGTTTCGCTTGCACATACCCTACTTCTTCCTATCCTTGATTACGCCGACACCTGCTACCTAGACCTCACCGAAGACCAATTAAACAAACTTGAGCGTCTTCAAAATATTTGTATCAGGTTTATATTTGGACTTCGCAAATATGACCATGTCTCACATTATCGTGCACAGCTTAAGTGGCTCCCTATACGCCTTCGCCGTGACTGGCATATTCTTTCCCTTCTTTACTCCGTTCTCTTTAATCCTGCTACTCCTAACTACCTCAAAGATAGATTCTTATTTCTCGGCAACAAACCTCCGTCTCAAAATCCCTTCCCACACATCCTCATTCTACACCAAATCCTTTTCGGTACATGCCGTTCGACTATGGAACTCATTACCTTCCTCCATACGTAGCTCACGATCACTACCCAGCTTTAAGAACTCGGTCAAATCACATTATCTTTCCTTATAATGTTTCTTTTCTGTCGTCACCATTGTTATATTACTAGTAGATATTATTCCTATGCGTGTATCACAGTTACTTGCTGCTTGCATTATTTTGTGTTGTGTTGTATCTATTTTTTGCATGTTGTTATGTATGTATGTATGTATGTATATATATATTTATATATATATATATAATATTAATATTGATGTATACTGTTTATATATGTAATATGTTATGTTATTCATTATTATTCATTTGTCATTATTATTATTATGTTTTTTTTTTTCTCTCCTATTCTAGTGCCACCTCCCACCTTTTGTTTTTTTTTCTCCTCTACCCAAAGGTTGCCTGGAAGAGATTGCATAAGCGATAAGGCCGCCTTTTGTACCCTTTTATTTTAATTACTCTATTAATGTAATTTTTCCTGGTGCAATAAAGAGTATATAAATAAATAAATAAATAAATAAATAGTAATGCAAGGTTGCTATTTCAAATAGAGGGATTCTGCCTGGTTGGGATTTAGTACTTACCCATACTACAATTATATACATTCTACAAAAGGTGTCGCATGGGGAGTTCTTGATTACTGAAGGCTTCACTAGAAGGAGGAAAATATTTGTATCGATGATTGAACTATTGAAGTGACATTTTCCAAGAATTTTTGATGATATATTATGATCCGTAAATCTCTATGGAGGCTTTAGTAAGGAAGTATAATTTCTGAATTAGTTGTGGAAGTTTTCATCAGGAGGAGAGAGAGGCTCAGATCGATGAATCTATGATGAAGTCACATGTTCCATCATTTGAGGAGAGATGGGTCAAAGCTCGCAATGAAGGTTTTAGACCACGATCCCTGTGGAGATTTCTACAACCAATAGGGACTTCAGTTTAGTTGATAACTATGTGGTTATCTAGGTCTCACACCCTGAACTTTACTATATGTGCGTTATATGTGTGGTGTATCAATATAGAGATATGTTGCTACCTTGGACATATGGTGTTATGTAGGTAAAGATTTAGGACACATATCACATTTATTATATAATACAAATTATTACACTGCACAAATATGTATATAATAGATGAATTAATCCGTAATCAATATTATCTATATTAATCAGCTGAAGCAATAGCAATGCTGTTCAGTATGACTCCCTTATAGATATAGAGACGTATTTTGCTTTCCGTAAATAGTTGAATTGCCTAATTATAATATATAGTTATCATATAACAACAGATATGTAATTGTGAAAATTGTAGACATTGGGGAGGTTTATTAGATGAGATCTGGGAGTTTACCAGAAGTAGTGAAGGTGAGTGTTAGTGCATTCTAAAAGGTACCTTTAAACCTACACCCGTTTCACAAGTCTCGGGCACCACTTGTGGTTCTCTCCCTGAACCATCAGTGGCCAGTATGAGGGCCTAAATCGTCATCATAATTAATGGGTTTAATAAACGTATACATATAAAAGTATAATTACTAATTAAACCGGTATCTATTAATTCTTATTGGACTTTGGTTCTTTATTAATTAAGATATTTATTATTATTTTCCTTGTTCCAGACAATCCAATAAAATAAAAGTTTATTTTAAGGTCTTTGGCCTTAATAACAAATACTAATTACTTTAGTGTATATGCTCAACTTAATCATATTAGGACTCTTAGTCCTTTAATTTATATATACATATTATGTATATATGTTTATGTATACATAAATATAATCACTTCTATGGGCTTCGGTCCTCAATCTATATATACTTATGATTATCCATTTTATGGCTAATCATTTCATCAATTATCTTAGGCTTTGGCATTTACATCTAAGGACTCCGGTCCTGTATCACATCGACTGTCCGCCTAGTGGATGTTCATATATCACTTTAAACCATGTCATAGACCTTTGACATTATTATCTATATTATTCTGATTATTTCACTATGTGATTAATCAAATCTTACTGATATATATTTGGACGTGCAGTCCTTCTATAAACTAAACATTATCTTCTGGTTGGTTCATCATGTGGATCATTCAGATATCTCTATTTAGATTTGGGACTTATAGTCCTCGCTTATAATATCTCACTAATATAATGATTACTTTGCTATGTAAGTAATCTTATTTAA